CCCTTTGTATTCAGTATGTCTATATCAAAACCAAGTGGTAGTAAAATTAAACGAAAAATCGCTGACGAACATAGAATATTCCAAGTAAAATGGGAATTAGAATATTTTTGCTGTGAAATAAAAGATAAAATAATCTGCTTGATATGTAATAATACTATTAATGTACCAAAGTTATATAATATTAAACGTCATTACGAACAACACAAATCGAAATATAACAATTACGAAGGATTAATGAGAGAAGAAAAGTTGAAAGAGCTCAAGTTAGGAGTGAAAAAGCAACAGTCCATGTTTAGTAAAGTATTGCAAGAAAGTGAAGCGGCGGTACATGCAAGCTACGTCTTGTCCGAGTTGATAGCTAAACATTCGAAGCCTTTTACTGACGGTGATTTCATCAAGGAATGCCTAATGAAAGCTGGAGAAATTGTTTGTCCTGGAAATGTGAAGGCTTTTCAATCAATTTCATTGTCTCGAAATACAGTTGCGGAAAGAGTTACTGATTTAGCCGCGAATTTAAGTGATCAGATCAAAGCAAAATCATCTAGTTTCGAAAGTTTCTCCATTGCCTGTGACGAGAGCACGGACATTAGTGGCAAAGCTCAATTAGCAGTGTTTTTTCGTTCTTGTGACAAGAATTTTAACATTTTTGAGGAATTACTGGAACTAATACCGATGCCTGGTACTACCACAGGAGAAGATATATTTACTTGTGTTTTTGGACTTCTGCAGAAATACAATCTACCTTTGGCAAAATTAAATTCTGTAGCTACAGATGGCGCTCCATCAATGACCGGGAAAAACAAGGGCTTCGTAGCATTACTAAGAAAAAAACTTAGTGAAATTCACGGTTCAAACATTCATCATATGCATTGTATTATACATCAAGAAGTTCTATGCACGAAAGTAATGAATATGGACAATGTTTTGTCATATATAAAAAAAGTTATAAATTTTATAAGATCTCGAGGTTTAAATCAGCGTCAATTCACTGCTTTCTTAAGTGAGTTAGATAGTGAATATTCGGGTTTGTCCTACTATACCGAGGTCAAACAATTCTGGGATTTGAAAGAAGAAATATGTCAGTTTTTAAAAACGAAAAATCAAGACGTAAGTTTGTTTTACGATCCAATATGGATACAATATTTATCTTTTTTGGTTGATATAACCAATCACTTAACCGATTTAAATTTATCGTTACAAGGAAAAGATCATATCATTACGAACATGTTTGACATAATTAAAGCATTCAAATGTCAACTAGTTCTTTGGGAAAAACAACTTAAAAATGAAGATTTGACGCACTTCCCGACGTGCAGCATGAACAAATCAAGTTTAGATGATACTTGTTCGTATCAAAAATACGCAGAAAAAATTGCAAATTTAACAACTGAATTTGAAACGAGGTTTAATGATTTTAGTTCCCTCGAAGACAATTTTTTTTTTTTGTTTTCTTCTTCGATTTTCTCAATAAGTATTGACTCAGTACCCAGCCATATGCAAATGGAGGTGATCGAGATTCAATGCAACTCAAATTTGAAAGCAAAATTCATTGAAGTGGGCGTGCCTGAATTTTACAAATATTTACCAGCCAGGTTTGAAAATACTCGAAAATTCGCATATGAAATTATTTCCATGTTTGGTAGCACTTATCGGTGCGAGCAGTTATTTTCAGTCATGAAAGGTAATAAGTCTCCTATTAGAAACCGTATTAATGATGCTCACCTTGGGTCAGCGTTGAAAGTTATCACTGCAAACAAAATTTCTCCCGAAATAGGAAAGATAATAGCAGAGAAGAGATGTCAAGTATCAGGACGTAAATATTAAATTTTTCTTGTTCTTTATATAAATATATATATATATCAAAAAAAGTTTTTTGAAGATTTCAATTATAATTTAAACGTTTGAACTTTTGGAGCGCAGCCTTGGTAATTTAGGGAGAATCAAAATAATATATAATATATTTATTACTGTTTATTGAAATAATCTACGTCGGATAGATTTTTTTTTCGCCCCTAAGTTAACCTTGTTTTTCCCAAGTTCTGTTTTTTTTAATGTTGAATCGGACCATATCTCCCGTTTTTGCAAGACCAAAGTTAAATGTTCCATATGCGGTAAAGCTCATTTGTCAATAATGTGTAACTCTCACGGAAATAATTCTACAGACATTATTGGGGATGAAAATAATAAAAAAGACTGTGTTCTGACAAATAAATCTTGCATGCAGTTAGTAAATTTGCAAACTTTAGTAGTAAAACTTCGTGGGGATGGGATCGAAAATATGTGAGAATTTTAATAGATAGTGGTTCCCAGCGATCCTACATTTCGAAGTATGCAGTTAGTATAATGAATTATAAAACAAGTGGTAAAGAAGAATTAATCCATGGTTTGTTCGGAGGAATTAAAAAGAAAGAAACTCATAATAAATATTTAATTAGATTGAGTAGTCTTAAAGGTGATTATCACTGTAATTTTCAGGTTTTGGATCAGGATAAAATATGTACTGACATTCCTAAAATTCGTAGAGATACATATCTTATTGAACTGCGAAAACATGGAATTTATTTAACTGACATGCAGAATAAATCTGTGGATTTGATGTATGAAAAATCACCTTTAGAAATTCATGTTCTTTTAGGTGCAGATGTGGCAGGAAAGCTTCTAACAGGGAAGGTTAGGCAACTAAAATGTGGGTTATCATGCGTATACACTAGATTAGGATTGACAATGATGGGGAAAACTGAAAAGCGTGAGTTCTCTGACAGTACGAAAACTGTATTGTCACTTCATGTTAATGATGCTAAAATTTCGGATTTATGGTGTCTTGACTCGTTAGGAATAACGGATCCTGCTACAACCCACACAAGAAAGGAAATTGATGAAATCGCTAAAATATATTTTCGTCAGTCATTAAAGAGAGATAGTGAGGGTAGATATCAGGTCTCTCTTCCTTGGTTAGAAGGGCATGAGGTTTTACCTGACAACAGATTATTAGCAGAGAAAAGGTTAAAATCCTGCGTCAAAAATCTTCAGTCAAAAAACTGTCTGAAAGAGTATGAAAATATTTTTAACGAATGGGCTGAAGAAGGTATTATAGAATCTGTTGAAGATAAGAAAACCGAAAATTGTCATTACCTACCACATAGGGCTGTAATTAAGGAAAGTTCAACCACAAAGATTAGACCTGTGTTCGATGCCTCAGCGAAGGAAAGGAATGGTGTGTCCTTAAATGACTGTTTAGAAAAGGGCCCAAATTATTTGGAATTAATACCGAGTATTTTAAACAGATTTCGCCTAGGTAAATACGGGGTTATCTCAGATATACATAAGGCCTTTTTGCAAATAGGTGTCTGTCCTTCGAGATAGAGACTTTCTTAGATTTCTCTGGTGGGAAGAAGGAGATTCCGAAAAATTGAAAATATATCGACATAAGCGCGTTGTGTTTGGCGTTAATGCCAGTCCTTTTTTTTCTCGCCGCCACACTGAATTATCATCTCGAGAATGTTCCTGAACATCAACAAGAGGTAGCTAAGAAATTAAGTGAATCAATGTACGTCGACAATTGTGTGGCCAGCGTTGATACTATTGAAGAACTAAACACTTTCATTAATGTGTCGAAGGAAATTATGTCGACTGCTAAATTTGATTTAAGGGGATGGTGTTACAATGAACCTAGCGGTGAAACTTTAAAGGGAAATCCTTGCAATGAAGACTCCGATAAAACCGTATCAGTTCTGGGGTTGAAATGGAATTTATCAAATGACACTTTGTCCTGTGACTTTAAAGATAGTTCTGTGAAACAGCCTGTCAGCAAAAGGAATATATTGTCAATAGTACACAGGATTTTTGACTCGATTGGGTTTACAGTTCCTGCTACTCTGATTCCTAAGCTAATGCTTTAAGAATGCTGGAAACAGAAGATTTCATGGGATAACAATTTACCTAAAAGCATTTCTGACAAATTCGAAAGCTGGAAAAATAAATTGCACAATTTGGAAAAAATAGCTATACCCAGAAGAATTTTTGCTGACTTTTTTCCGATTTATCTTTACACGTGTTTGACTGAAAGGATTTCCGATTTATCTTTACACGTGTTTTGTGACGCGAGTAAATCTGATTATGCCACATGCATATTTATGCGAAGCTGTAATGAAAATTCCGTTACATATCAGCTCATCTCAGCTTGATCCAGAGTGGCACCTATCAAGCCGATTTCCATACCACGACTAGAGCTCTTAGCTTGTACGATTGGTGCTAGACTGGCACATCGTGTTAAGGAAGATTTGAGACTAGAAAGCTTGCCTATTTATTATTGGAGTGATTCTATGGATGCATTATTTTGGATAAAAAAGAATGAAAACTGGGCCGTTTTCGTTCACAATAGAGTGAAAGAAATCCGTACTCTAAGTAATCCAAACGACTGGAATTATATTCCTGGAACGCTAAATCCAGCGGACCTCCCTTCCCGAGGATGCAGTCCGGAAACCTTAGTCAAATCGAAATGGTGGGAGGGTCCCGATTGGTTGAGAAATGATTTCTCATTTCAATCAGAAAAATGGCCTACCTCTGAAATTGTACCGAATTTTGACATTATAAATGCTGAAAGAAAGAAGACAATAATTTCTGCAGTTAATTCGAATGCTATGACTGAAGTTAATTTTGATAAGATTTCTTCGTACAATACCATTCTAAAGATAATATCTTGGATCTTCCGTTTTGTTAAAAATGTCAGACTAAGTCCTAATGAAAGAACTTTTGGAACAATTACAGCGGAAGAAATTAAAGGAGCCGAATTAACTCTTTTGAGATTAGTGCAGAGTGAATCATTTTCTGGATTAGATGACAAAAGATTACGTGTACTTCAACCAATGATTGATTCTAACGGAATCCTTAGGGTTAAAACCAGAATTCTGAGAAGAGATGATACAGAAAATTTTCGATTTCCTATTATTCTTCCTTCAGATCATCCTATTGTAGTAAAATTAATTAGAGCTAAACATGAAATGAACAATCTTGCAGGAGTACAATTTTTAATATCCGCTTTACGAGAACAATATTGGATTTTGAAAGCACGAAAGACTGTCAAGAAAGTCATAAGAAGCTGTGTTGTATGTCAGAGGTTCGATACTAGTTCTTCGAAAACACCCAGTGCTCCTCTCCCTGAAGATCAAGTAAGAGAAGCAGCAGTCTTTGAGATTGTAGGTGTTGACTTGACTGGACCGTTGATATTGAAGGGAAATCAAAAATCATGGATAGTGAGTTTTACCTGTGCTGTTTTTCGCGCTTCATGGATAGTGAGTTTTACCTATGCTGTTTTTCGCGCTGTACATTTGGAATTGATTTTCTCGCTATCAACTGAAAGTTTTCTGCAAGCGCTGAGACGTTTCATTGCTCGACGTGGAAGACCCCACACCATCTATTCCGACAATGGAACGAATTTCAAAGGAAGTGATAGATTATTCAAAAGCTTAAATTGGGATAAAATCTTAGAACAAGCTAGTATCCACAGGATCACATGGAAATTTCTTCCGCCATCAGCTCCCTGGTCTGGAGGATGGTGGGAACGATTAATAGGAGTCCTGAAAAGAATCCTTCGCAAAGTTTTAGGACGATCATCTCTGAATCATGAAGAAATGATAACAATTTTGTGTGACTGTGAAGCAATAATGAATAATCGTCCATTGACGTATGTCTCGGAAGATGTTGAAGATTTATCTCCGATCACACTTTCCATGTTTCTCCCATGAAATTCGACAAATTGGAGTTCCTGATTTGCGTTCAAATCCTGCGAAAGTTTCCGTAACTTTCTCTATCTGTAATATGAATATGAAAAATACCTCAGAAAGTTGTCCACGAAGGCATCCCTTCTTCAGACAGATATCCTTAATGTGCTCTGTTGTAATCTAATACGCAAATTAAATAAATTCATCTGTAATGTAAATATGAACCAGTTTATCTTAAAACGCCTTTCATTAATGCATCCTTAAGCAAATAACACTTCCGAGTTTTGCTTTTAATCAATTAACGAGATAAAATAAAGAACTTATTTAATTCAGTTAGTCATTTCGTCATAAAGTTCTGTATTACATATTTTTCATAATTTTTGTTTGTTATAATTGCTTAACGTTTAATAAATGCTTCAAACTTGTATAAAGCATCAGTTGACAGATATGGCTATGGGCTGAAAAAACGCAACCTGAAGCAAATCGGTTTGAAGTCTTTGCGTTATCTGCATGAAATTTAATACCGTAAGAAGTGAAAGAGATAAATACAGTCTTTCAATCAAGAAGTGTAACCATACGCTTACCAGAAGATTAAACTCGGTCCAAATCCCAGTGAATGGAGTGACTGCATGGTTTTTTCCATGTTTAACACTGTTACTAGCTGTTTCCCTTAAACATTTTTCTATAAATAACCTTATTTTTCTTTAAATGGGTACCTTTCGTATTCTTTAACGTACTGAATTTAACAAATGCAATTAAAAAATGTGGGTACCACATGACTTCCTTGTACGAATTATTAAATTACTCCTGATTTTGCTTCTTTAAAAAGCCGAAAAACGTCCTTGAAAAGTAGTGTAATATTTTTCACTAATTACATTGCTATTTGTAATATTTCAAAGTTTTTTTTTTATCAAAAAGGTATTTTATAATTTTTTTTATTTTAAAGATTATAAGTATTATTTCTGAATACAGAAAGCTGTGACTATGTTTACCTTTTGTTTAACATAAAATGTATCCATATCCCGTGGATTCCCTCTCGATGAATACTCAGAATTCCAAATGCAGCCCACCAGCGGCCGAGCAGTGAAGTCGCTAAAAACTGGTAGTTCGGTCCGCGGTTTGATTCCTTGCGAACGGAATGGCTGCATGGGCGTTTTTTTCGCGGTGTTCTTTATGTAAAAAGTGTATACGAGTGAAAAACACATGTGTAAGTCTGTATTTATTATTGGGGTAAAGGAATCAGAAATACAGCATGAATATGTTTTAAAAGCAGGATAAAAGTTAAATATAAAGGACAATATATAAACAGAAAGTAGAAAATGTCAAATTTACATTTTTCAGACATAGTTTGGCGAATCCTTTGAATAAAAGTAAGATGTGTAAAAGAGAATCCACCATGTTTTCTATAGTGTTCCAAAACGTTAATATATCTGTAGAGACATTAGGTATTTTTAGAAGCAGGCAAGATGAAAAAATGAGCAACGCCGTCGCCGGGAATCGAACCACGGACCTCTAGGATACGCGCCCAGCGTGCAAACCAGTACACTGCGAAGGCATGCTAAGAAGGCGGCAGAAATGCCTTATATACTTCCCCTTTTAAAGGGCGACTGAGGTTTTCAGGGAACCCAAACGCCAAATCCTGGGTGTGAAGAATCTTCATCCACCACCCTTTTAGTTCGGGCGCAACATTAGGATATTTTGAAGGAAGCGTGAAGGATAAAAAATGAACAGCGCTCTCTCCGGGAATCAAACCACGAACCATGGACCACTGGAATAAGCACCCAGTGTGTAGACCACTACACTCCGAAGGCATGCTAAGAAGGCGGGAGAAATATCTTATAACATGACAAACTTTACTTGTTATCCGGTAATGAAATTTTTTAAGTTCGTAAGGTACGTCATTTGTTTTAAATAAGCAACATATATAAAAGGTAAAAGTAAAAATCGAATTTCTATACACTCATTTTTTTTCCCTTATTTTCCTCTTTCATTTTTATATCCGGCGTGTAGCGCGCACCCGTAAATTTTGATCTTATTTTTTATGCTAAAAGTTCGCTTTATGTTTCGGGATGTGCAGTACATACGATATTATACGAATGCATTTACGTGTTTATATAATGGAATGGAATTTGAATACTGCATTATTTTCCGCCTAAAAAGAAAACAGATAGAGCACGTATTAAGGACCTAAATAGCCCCCCTAAGAAAAGTTATGAAAAGACAAAATTAGTAATGTACTAAATCTAGAATTTACGCGATGATTGAGAATAGAAAATAAAGTAAATTTTAACAATCACCTAAAGAGTTGTACTAAGGTTTTTTAAGCTCTCGCTGAGTTCCCGGCCTGCTAGTCCGTTGCTACGCTCTCTTCCACTAAACATAATTTAACTACTTCGTTAAAGAACTTCAATGAATATGAAAGAGATGGCAAAACAAATTCGAAATTCAATATTCGTGCTTCCAAGTGTCCATATTCGGATGGAGGACTACATTATTCAAAATTTGATGGCTCTAGATACCCTTGTTTTTCCACAATGCGAAAAAGATGCACACTTAGTGGCAATAATTTAAAAATTGATTCACACTTTTCTAGTGATGCAACACCAAATCTCATTTTGAGACTAATAGCCCCAAAAATCTGAAAGCTTCTAGATTTTATATTTCTCTCAAAAGGGCGTTTTTTTTTCATTACATACACATGCACGTTTCAAAAACATTTGGGCTAATGTCCCTTTGGACTAAAAATATTTAAAAACAGCATATCGTTAGAATTTTTGAAAGAGAGTCTTGCGCGCTTGAGATATTTTTTTTTTTTTTTTTTTTTTTTTTGTTTTTGTTTTCCTGTACAGTGTTACCAGGGTTTTGAAATTGTTGAGTTTGTTAATAAAAAATTCGTTAAAATTTTCAAAATATGAAATAGACAATAAAACAAACTCGAAATTCCGAACACATTCTTCCAGGTGTTTACATTTGCGTGGAGGACTACGTTATTCAAAATTTGATGTCCCTAGGTACCCTAGTTTATTTCATAATTTGAAAAAAATGCACACATTCATATAGATTCTTCATTATTTAATTTAGTTCAATATTATATAGGGCGATAATATTTGGTGGTAACAATCTGAAAAGTGATAAGCCGTTTATAGTCAGTGATTCAACGCGGAATTCCATTTCGAGACTAAGAATTCATTCGAGCTAACGTTGTTTTGGGGCTAATAAAGATCAATAGTACATTCAAATATCAAGAAAATGTTTCAAGTTCTAAACTTATTATTTCCACGTGAAAGGAGAAACATTTGGTAAGGTTCTAAATTTTTAATTTTAAATGCTATAAAAGGAAACTGTAATGTAACATGTAAACATGCTTTCTGTAATAACATGTAAACATGCTTTCTGTAATACCCTGTAGTAATTTATTGAAATAGATATCAAACAAAGGGAAAAAAATCTGTATTAAAGTCAAGGTTAAAATTAATTCTTCGGAGACAGCTTTTGAGGAAATAATTGCGCTTCTGGTTTCTGAGCGTACTAGTCAGATATTTTATTTAATTAAAAAGAATTTTGAACAATACAACATAAACCATAAGCTAATTAAAAGCAGAGAATAAATGTTTAATTTTTTTCTCTGCTTTAGAAATGTCCGCGTCCGTCATTTTCTTTGAAGAATTTTGTTTTAATATATAAAGTGAAAACATAATTTCTAAATATTTTAAGTTTATTATTAGTTTTGTAAAATAATTAAAAGTCTGGGAATTTAATAAATTAAATGTTTAACAAAAATGTTTCTAATTTTTAATATCCTATTCCTTTTATCTACATAATTTATCATTAATATTTTTATTTTATAGAGCGATAGAAACTAAACACACTCACTATCTAGTTGCATAAATAAGTAGGCACACGGAGATGGAAGCAATTATTTTATACTTCTGATCGTCGGAGTTTAATCTTCGACCATTAATCCAAACAGTACATATCTACTAATTTATTACATAATTTTATCATTAATATTTTTATTTTATAGAGCGATAGAAACTAAACACACTCACTATCTAGTTGCATAAATAAGTAGGCACACGGAGATGGAAGCAATTATTTTATACTTCTGATCGTCGGAGTTTAATCTTCGACCATTAATCAAACAGTACATATATCTACATAATTTATCTACATAATTATCATTAATATTTTTATTTTATAGAGCGATAGAAACTAAACACACTCACTATCTAGTTGCATAAATAAGTAGGCACACGGAGATGGAAGCAATTATTTTATACTTCTGATCGTCGGAGTTTAATCTTCGACCATTAATCAAACAGTACATATATCTACATAATTTATCATTAATATTTTTATTTTATAGAGCGATAGAAACTAAACACACTCACTATCTAGTTGCATAAATAAGTAGGCACACGGAGATGGAAGCAATTATTTTATACTTCTGATCGTCGGAGTTTAATCTTCGACCATTAATCAAACAGTACATATATCTACATAATTTCTACATAATTTATTAATCATAATATTTTATTATAGAGCGATAGAAACTAAACACACTCACTATCTAGTTTGCATAAATAAGTAGGCACACGGAGATGGAAGCAATTATTTTATACTTCTGATCGTCGGAGTTTAATCTTCGACCATTAATCAAACAGTACATATATCTACATAATTTATCTACATAATTTATCATTAATATTTTTATTTTATAGAGCGATAGAAACTAAACACACTCACTATCTAGTTGCATAAATAAGTAGGCACACGGAGATGGAAGCAATTATTTTATACTTCTGATCGTCGGAGTTTAATCTTCGACCATTAATCAAACAGTACATATATCTACATAATTTATCTACATAATTTATCATTAATATTTTTATTTTATAGAGCGATAGAAACTAAACACACTCACTATCTAGTTGCATAAATAAGTAGGCACACGGAGATGGAAGCAATTATTTTATACTTCTGATCGTCGGAGTTTAATCTTCGACCATTAATCAAACAGTACA